TTTCCCAGCCCCTAAATTGCATACTATTTTGCCTATCTTTTTGAACCAACCATAGCACAGACTTTCTTAACAATTCCACGATAAGTTTTTCATGTAATTATTGGTTTATGCCTGTGCCAGACATAACACGGCAGCAGCATCTTTATTCATATTGTTGAGTAAGCAATGTACAAGCACAGTCACAGTGACAAATATTTTCAAGAACACAATTGTCTTTGTCTAAGAAGGGTGAAGGGTTGTGCTAATAAAGAAAAGGTAACCTTTTGAGGGAAGAAGAGGGGGGGAGAAAGAGAATGGATGAAAAAATATGGGTTAAGCAGGATCTGCTAAAATACTAGGAAATGCCGCTAAGTATGAAAGTGCAAGTAATATATTATAAAGTGATCTGGTGTCTGCAAAATTAATTATAGGGATCCAGGAGAAGGGATGAAACCATAACTATAAGAAAGAGTATGCCCTTTCTGCATGTAAACACATATACACACAAAAGAAAAAATCCCAGCCCCTATATTTCCCATTCCTGGGGAAATTTCAGCATCTGTACCCTCCTCCATTTTTCAATTACTAACACAATGGCCACAGATGAAGTAGTCGTGTTAAGTGGTTTCTTTCACTCAGGGAGAGAAAGGAGGAAGCTGAGACTTTGGCTGTGTGTAATCCTGGTGAGACTGTGTATTTCTGTAATGATTTTGTCATTTCATCTCCCATCACAGAGAGATGCAGCAGAGAAAAGACAAATGGAAAAAAAACCAATAAAATCCCAGGCATCTCTGCTGTTAAGTACATATTTTGGTTGCCTATTCAGCTCTATTTTAGCATTTTAAGTTTAATGATTCACTTTTTATCTGGGAGTCTGGAACTCCGTCAACGCTATGAATAGTCTGCAGCTAGGTTTTTGAAAAAAAGCAACTATTAGTGGTTTTAATAAAATGCTATATTGTTAAAGTCAGACATGCTTATTAAATCACTACCACACTTCTCTCTTAAAACACATCTGCTATTTAAGTGCCTAAACAGAAATTAAAGTTTTCTTAAAATCTAGTTCTGGTCCTGCTGAGTCAAACAATATTTAGGTTTATTGGAACTACAGGATCAAGCTTGTACAATCAAAACGTTAGACTTTCCTTCAGTAATTGAATGTCATGAAAATCTCTTCTAGGCTTGTACTTCACAAAAAAAGAAAGTTCTGGAGCTGGGGGGATAATAAAAATAAGACAATAAAATATAACAATGAAAATGTTGACCATGTCACACAAGGGCATTTTTGCTCTTCAGAAATTTCCAATACTACAAGAATTGTTGTTTTGAATCAGAACAAAACTGAAAAGATAGACATTTTGCAGGTGCCAATACACCCTAAAATTGTTTCCCAAAATTCACTACAACGAAATATTTCATGATTTTAAAGAACATTTGAATATTTGACTTGGTATTTCAATTAAATAATTCAGATGTAATTGAGAGCTAAAATTGAAAGACAAATACCTATTTGACACTGGAAATTTTTCTTTGTATCAGGAATTGAAAGAAAAAGTAGGATTTTCTTGCTTGGAAGAAAACACATAAAAATGGAAAACATTTTTGCTGAAACTAATATTTTTATATGTCTTATTTTACGTTTAACAGGTAATATTTTTTGGCTAGCAACATTTCCAAACTACTATTTTTAGTCTGTATTATTGTTGCTGCTGGAAATGAATAATCACATGAACACAGCTTGAGGTGTGGTGAAAGGAAGAGAGAGTTTATTTCTTCTCCCAGGATTTATAGGTTTCTGACCATGGCCAGGAATTGGGTGGTCAGGATAACACTTTCCCACTGCACTGGCCATGAGAGATGTCCATCACAAGACATGTAACAGAAGGAATGCACACATATCTCTATGTTTACAGTTATTGTCCTGGGAAAGTCTTTAGAAGACTATGTCAGCAAGCTCAGAAGCTGAGTTTTCAGGGCGACATCTCACCCTTTTTGGTTTTAACAAAAAGAAAAAGAAAAGAAAAATGAACAAAGAAGATAGCAACATTATAAGCAATCAAAAGGAAAAATAATAGGAAAATACAATACTCCATACAATCAGAAGGCTGAAATTTCAGGGTGATATATTATGGCTACTGATTTCTGATGCTTGGAATCTCCACAGTCACCCTTGCACTGAAATATATTGACAAGTATTTCCAGTGACTGAATATTTATTTTATATCAAATTAGGGTGATTTTTCTTCCTTCACATAAAACTCAGACAGAGACACAAAACCCCTTTTTTAAAATACAACCATACCGTTCTAGCCCATACTAATTCCTGAACTATGCCTTAAAATTTTCATGAGACTATAAACTGGGAAGAACTCTGGAAGTGTTTAAGTCCAGCCTGGATAGCACTTGGAGCAACCTGATCTACCAGAAGATGTCCCTGCCCTTGGCAAGGGTTTGGAACTAGGTGATCTTTAAGGTTCCTTTCAACCCAGGCCATTCTGTGATTCTGATTCTGTTTTAATACCTCAGTCAATTAATAAAGCATTATCTCTTAGAGAAAGGTAACTTTAGCTATTTTCAACTGAGAACAGTAAGATAATTTTGCAACTAAATTGTATTTTATCTAAATGTAATGAAAATTATTGTTCTCCTCATCCTTCCTACTTAAATATATGATGATTTATTCCTAGATTCCAGTTATTCTCTGTTATATAGTCTGATGTAAATTTGGAAAACTCATTCTCTTAGTCTAATAGTTGCTGCATCCTACTTGGTTTCCTCCTTGACAGCTCAAAAAAAGTCCCTTCTTTCACTTGAGTACTTATTTCCTGCTGCTTTCAGCAAAATTAAACACCTCAGTTGGTTTTGGATGCTGATGTCAAGATGATGTAATCTTTTATTATTTATTAACATACTTGAAATCAGAATTTACACTTGGCTTCAGAACTGAGTCTGCAAACAAAAAGAAGGAACTACTGAGAGCCCTTCATTTGTTGGGCTCCAGAGGGTTTGGTGCTCCTGATTCCTCCCTCCATGTGCTGGTGAACTAGAACCAGAGAGCCTTATGCTTGAGCTTCGTGCTGCCATCCCATGGCTAAGGAAATGATTAAGGATGGTCTTGGAAAATTCTACACTATTACACATCAGAATAACACTGAAGTCAGATCAAATAGTAGTAAACATGCATTGTAACTAAAACTATTGGTTTATCTGCCAAGAGGACCTCAAGTGGATCAATTCCCTTTGTTGGGATTCAACTTCCTTTCAGAAGGATTAAGTCACCAACGATGTTAATTTGTGGCTATCCATTACTTCCTGCTGTTGCTGTGGCCTCAAAGACAAGCAGAGTTGACACTGAGTTTGGATGTACTTTCTGCAGCTGAGGTATCCCAAATGTTTTCAGACTCTGTCGCTGACTGCAGGAAGTCAAATGCCACCTCTGGGTTTGCTGGAAGCACTTTTCACTTGCAGCCACTCTGACTCAGACATGTCTGTGCCCACATTCAACCCAGTATGACTGACCAGTATTACACTCAGACATGCAAACGGGAATCTGAATCATTGATTTCTTCTCATCTTTGCTCCACACATTGGTAGTTATGCCTAGGACTGATATGCTGAAGCTACTTCCTCTTGTCCACTACCCGGTCCGCTAACTTGTCTTTTAATAAAGGTTTACACCTTTTATTTTTTTTTAAGGGTTACACATTTTGCAGGCTCAGTATTGACCTCTGGAATCCACCTTGTTAATTAACTTTTTAGGCATTGATAGTAAATTTATTTGTCATTCAGAATAAAAATAAACTTTTTTTTATTTTCAAATTTCATTATTTATGTGTGTATAAGTACACTGTTTAGATATTCAATGGAATCTGCTTTAGTAGAGAAAGCATGAATCCAACCACCTAATTTGTGTTACATGGTGAAATGGGACATGTCTTTCACTAGCTCAGAAGACACCTTACTTAAAATTGACCCTTAAACAATTCTATGTTTTTATTTCTCCTTTATTAGGAAAAAGAAAAAGAAAAAGAAAAAGAAAAAGAAAAAGAAAAAGAAAAAGAAAAAGAAAAAGAAAAAGAAAAAGAAAAAGAAAAAGAAAAAGAGAAAAAGAAAAAGAAAAAGAAAAAGAAAAAGAAAAAGAAAAAGAAAAAGAAAAAGAAAAAGAAAAAGAGAAAAAAAGGAAAGCCTCTGCTGTCACTTTTTTTGAATGAAAGATCAGACCAGGTTAGCAAAGAATTTATGATTTGTCCTTCTCAACGCACAGTTTGTGGTAGATCATAATAGACTCTATATATTATAGTTGTAAACTGAAGACACTGCTGCTTTTTGTCTCTTAAGCCTTGCCTGCTTCATTTACTTAGTTGTAAAGCTCTTGGTCTGTCTTATTTATTTGTAAGTAAACCAAATACCAACAACTGGGAAGGAAACAAAACACATATCTCCAAACAGAGCACATAGCCGCACCACACCAAGATAGATGGCTGACATGTACGCACAGAAACTGGAATAAAGAATATCCTCAGAGAGAACTTAAAATTTACACTTGCGGATAAACGGTTCCTTCAGCCTTTTGGTCCAGGTTTGCAAGAGGTTATAGAAAGCAAATCAATTCAGAATTAGCTTCTCTTGGACAATGAAATAAATTGAAACAATGAAATAAATTAAAATTAAATAAATGGAAAACACTCCAAAGATTATTTTTTATCCTCAAAAACATCATCTCATATCCCCTACCCTCAAAGAAATCCATCTTCCTTCAGAAGAATATTTAATAAAGTATTCAGTTCCAAAACAATTGCAAATTTAACAGTTGCCAAGTTCATCCTTTTTTCTTTTTTTGACTCCTGAATACTAGCTCAGTTCTTCAAACACAAATAACTTCTCTTTAATCACAGCAGAAGAAAGTTGTACCTTGTGCATATCACTGCATTACAGCCCTTAATTACATAATTAGAAACTATTTTCCCTCTTCATTCAGCAGACTCAGTACAACTGAGGAATGAACTAGGGTTACACAAAGATTACAGGCATATGTGCTTTATTTCAAGCTTAAAAGGAAAAAGAAAGGGAAACAAAATTGACCAAAGCTCTAGAGAAACTGATTCCACTCCAAGCTTGCCACTGAGCTTCCAAGTGATGTCAAAGAAATGTTTTAACTCAAAATTTGTCCAGCTTGGCATTCACAATGTAGTTCTCATTTGCTGATCAGTCAAATTAGGATTCTGGCTCTATGAAAGTTCATACAACACAAAAATTTAAAATATAGCACATACATAGAGCATATGAAATGCTTCAACACCCTGGAAAATCATCTCTATCTGTTTTAACTGATGAAAATTTACTAAAATCAGTAACAATTTAATTTCTCATGGTCTTGGTATCTTAGCTATAGAGTGAGAGTAAGAACTTCTGGTGTTTCTGTGAAAATTGATTTGGTTTTATTCATTTAAAGGCCTAAGACATAATTGGTGTGGGTATTTTGAAATAAAGCTACAGAAAAAACTAGTTACTCTTTATGCAGAAAAACATTTAAATCCTGGAATATGACCTAAATCATGCGAATGTGTGAGGAAAAGTGTACAATGAAAGTTCATTCATTTTCTCCTTCTGGCAGGAAACAAGGAAACTCCTGTGGAAAGAAAAAGGAGACATAGTCACTAATATCATTATGTATGTAGAGAATTAAAATAATATTACTGAGAAAATCTGTACTTTCCCACTTGATCTTTTGGTGTAAATTCACCTATTCTAACTGCTTTATAGACAATGAGGACATACACAAGCCATGAAAGAACCTAACAAGGGTCAGAGAACTTCTGTTTGAAATGCTGCCTTTATAAATATCAATAATCAGTACTCCAGTAGGTGATCAAATATGTTACTGAAAAAGCCTAGATTTAAAATTTAAGATTTTAAAAAGCAAGTGTGTAAAACCAGACCATTGATACTCTGATACTTAAGTGAAAGCCAGCTGAAAACCCCCCAAACTTCTGATTATGAAGACCAAAAAACCACCTTATGAAGATAGTGAAGATTACTTGAAGCAGATATTAAGGAATTCATGTAAATATTTCCATCTGCCTTAAACAGAGACTCATATCAAAATCAAACCTTCAAACAAATTCATTTCTTTTTGAAGATATAAAAAATTTTATTAAATCTTGTAAAACCTGATTAAGTTTTTACTTCAGTATAATGCAAAGAATAATGTTTACCACATGTAACTAAATTTTTTGATACTGCATACTACCATTAAATATGTAACTGTGAATTTTAAGTTGAGAAAATGCTCCTCTTTTTCATACACTAAAGCATCTGGCCTTCTGAGTATCTGTGGAGCAACACATGCAATTAAAATGGTTATCAAGTTCTTCATATGTTGCAAATCATTATTTAAATATATCTACTTCAGACTAAGCCAGATCTCTATGGTCTATCAAGGCTTATTAAGTGCTACTAAACACATAATTCTTTGACATGAACAGGGTGTGGTGTCAGCCTGCACACTTTCCACAGGAAATGGCTTTGCAGTGGCCTGGTGTCGTTACCTGATTCCTCCAGACAAAGTGGAACTCCATTACTACAACCTAAAATGCTTCAAGCTAAGCAGAGGCATTAGACATCAAGTTAAATCCAGCTGACCTCTATGGAAATTAGGCACATGATTAAGTGCTTTGATAACTTTGTTTATTCTAAGTCTATGCATAGTAAGAACATTGCGAGGTAAAGCTGTGAGTAGTGCAGCTATTCTGGAGGTAAATATTTTACACAGCTTGTAAGTAAACTGTATCTCCTCTTAGTACACTGGGTTGACAATGTAGAAAATCTGTCGGTTGACAATGTAGAAAATCTGTCTCAATTAGAGAGAATTAAATGCATTGTAAATAGATATAACCATAATGTTAGACTGTTCCTTCACACCAAATCTAATTTTCAAATGAAAATATTATCTGCCACCTGCCTGTGCTGATATCTATGTAAAATGAGCTTGCTAACACAGATGCAGTCACCTTATAAAAAGTAATCTGTCACAAACATGAGCCAATGACCTGCACATGCCTGAGTGACTATGTGTAGGTCAGCCAGACACTATTTTCAAGGGTTTATTTAGGCTACACATTTCAACTGTATGCACAAAACATTCCCACACGGAAAGACAACAATACATCTTCACTCATACCCACACTAATAAATCACAGAGGGACCACTAAATCAAGATTTAAGATATGAAGAAGGCATGATTTAAGGCAAAATTTACAAGATTTGCTCTATGTTTGACAAGTCTTTTCTGGGCCTCTTTTCACTACCAACTCATCAACTCATCAGCTCCTCTCCCTCTTGTTTTTCTACGGTCTGCCTCCCATTTACCTTCAAAGATCACACACATCTGAGGCAGTATGCTGCCATGACTGACAAGATGGAGGTAGGTAAGATACAGTTTTTACCAAGCAGAACTTCAAGAGACATCCAGTAAAGCATAGGAGAGGCAGCCACTCAATCTGCAGCAACTTGGTCAGGGAAAAAAAAAAAGGACTAAGCTGCTGTCTGAGCAGTTTTGAGCTGACAGTTTTTGAGCCTAGATACACCACTGTTAAAAAATTACAGGTATACAGGCTGACCCCCTCAACTTCTGTTTTCTGGGTCCAAGAGGTTGCATTCATGAGCCAGCTTTTGGAGCTGGTGCTATATTCAATTCAGCAGCCCCCATTTTCTAGGTTTTTCCTCCAGTCCTGAAGCAGGCAACACTAATCTCAAAGGGATAAGCTTCATAGCTGTTCAGTACTGCAGTTAATATAGTTACAACAAAGATCCGTGGCACCACCTGAAATATTTAGTGTAAGTGCCACAGAAATCAGGACACATACCATGCCATACCATGGGCTATAGCCCATAGATGAGAAATCCTATGACTAACACTGGGAGCCTGCAGTCTCAATCAAAAGAACAGTGAGATGATGACAGTGTCTCAGCAGAACTGTTCATTCACACTCACAATTAACATGCTGTTTGTAAACAGCTATGTCAGAACTCCAGCAACTGTCTCCTGTGGTAAGCTGGAACCTGCTCCAAACATGGGATATCAACTACAACATCAAAAACAGCATTACCTTATTACTACTGCTCCAGTGGCTATCATGGCTCCAATTCTAACCATCAATGCTATTTGAAATAGTGGGTCCTTAATTTCTGACAGGTGACCATGAACTGAGCCCCTAGGCATTCCCATGCACACATGAGGGGTGGGAAACCCAGAGCCTGGTGTCTGGCAAGTTCACTTTGATTCTGGATAGTGATCATGCTTGGGAGAGTATTTCATAGGAAGGATTAATCTCCTCATCAGCACTTACTGCACAACAGAAAAGGGTGCACGTGTTGAAAGAGGAAGGAAGGCAGGAAAGAAGGAAGAAAGAAGGAAGAAGGCAAGACACAGAATTGTTTATAGTCCAGCAAAATGCAATCACTTGGTTCATATAGTCATTAACGGCACTTCTGAATGATACCTATACAAAAAGGTTCACCTTTCCATTCCTTTCATGGCTCCTCAAAGGCCTATTCATATTCCACTGCAGTCCATTGTTGCTGCTAAAGATCAACAGATCACATGGACACAGGTTGAGGTGTGGGGAAAGGAAGAGAGAGTTTATTTTTCCTCCCAGGATTTATAGGCTTCTGACCATGGCCAGGGATTGGATGGTCAGGATAACACTTTCCCACTGCACTGGCCATGAGAGATGTCCATCACAAGACGTGTAACAGAAAGAATGTACACATATCTATGTTTACAGTTACTGTCCTGGGAAAGTCTTTAGAAAACTATGTTAGCAAGCTCAGAAGCTGAGTTTTCAGGGCAACAGTCCATTTCATTACATATTCCTTTAAGTGATCTGGACACAGCCTCTCATCCTCGAGAAGCTGACAACAGAACAACATAAAATGCAGCATTTACAAGTCACAGACAGAAAGAAAACAAATGCCTTTCTAAGACAGAAAGCCTGTATGCTGTAACATGGAACTACTTTATTGCTAAAAGTGCCAGAAGTGTGCTTAAATTTACAACAAAAGGTAACAAAATAATGAGGTTAGCAGCACTTCACCCAAGCTCTGCTGAGAGTTATTCATACACTGAAGGGTACTGCCCTCTCATGTTAGCAGGAGCAGTTCACAGATCTTGCCTGCTTTGACCAAGTCCTTCACAGCAGCTTCACAGAACAGCTGGAGGGGCCCATTTTGGCGTTACACTGGCCCTGGGGAAAAATCCACAAAATCCTAAATCAAATATGTTTCTTGAGTGCTTGGCTGATAAGGAAGAGGAAGCCTGGCTGATTAAAGTTCAGTTTGGGAGCTGCTGCTGAAGAGAACTCCAAAGTGACTGACAGCGGATAGTCAAAAGAAAGAAAAAAGAGGCTTGGGCTAGCAGCCATCTTTGCCAGAGCTAGTAGTTGAGTGTTAGGTAGCATATTCCAGAAGGAAGAGTTCACTGTTTGGCAGTAGTTCCAACAAAGCAGGCACCTGGCTTTAGCTGGTAACGTTAGTTGATAGATGCTCTGTCAGTGATGATAGGATACCTGCTGCCACACACCTGTGTCAGATATATCACTGACATTATTCAGGAATATCCTCAGGGGAAAAGCTTGTGAACTCTTGTGTTTTCACCACTGTTGGTAACAGAGTATCACTTCTGAGATTCAAGCAATACCAGCTGAATGTTGACACTCCTGTATTTCTGCAACAGGCAAGGGAAACTCTCATCTTCTTCCCACAATCAAAAATACTCCTTTGAAAGTCTTGCTGGAGTCAGTTTATTCTGTAAACTTCACAATGCTGGAAGTAACAAGAAAATACTGCTTTGACATGGTACTTAAGTTTTATAACACATCTATGCCGTGCATATGACCTCTTACATTAAATAACAACTTGGATACTAAATTCCTGATTGCTAGCTAGGAAGAAAAGAGACACACTTGGAAGCCTCTAGAACTTTTAAGGGAATGTTGTCTTTCAGTGTATGGGCACAGAGTCCCTGAGAAGTCTGCCATGAATATTTCTAGGATTGAATGTCATCAGTTTTGAAAAGTGCAAAGGACATTGTCGTAGTGCATCTAGAAATCTTGGTACCTCCCAAGGGTAAAACTCACCTCTGGTTTGTGTAATGTTAGCTCCTACCTGAAAACCTTCTTTCCCTTCCCCCTTCCCATTGGCTGTGACCTCCCTGCATCCCCTAATCACCCCTGCCCCCTGGTATAAGAGATAAGACCCAGAGCATTTCGCTCTCTCTCTTGCCCCGGATGGACGACAGACAATAAACCCGGGATTATTCCAGCAAGTTTGAGCCTCCTGTGTCTAGATACTTTGAGTCCGTGTTGTATCCACTCCAGGACCCCCTCCGCAGCCTGTGCCCTGAGACGAGCAGGGCTCTCACCACGGCGGGTGGGACTGAGGGGTCCCATTGGGAGTAGGATTGCAACAGGACATTACTGACACATACAACAATAGTCAAAATAGGTCAGCCTATTTAACAACACAAAATGGTCAAGGGCTAACCTTGGACAAAGCATATGCTCTCTTCCTTCCACTGTTAAAGTTGTAACTTCCCTCTGAAGCACAGACAAGTTCATAATACTTCTTCTGCATAAAAGGCTTATAGTCCATTGTCAGTCTAAGACTTTAAGTAGCCTCTAAAGAAAATATTCAAATTAATTCTGAAAATATGAAACTATTATCATCTTGCCATTTAACCAGTGAAAAATTTTAATAAGCTGTAGATTTAATTTTGCTGAATAAAACATATTTACAGTAGCCTTCTCTTGCTTTTGCTTGCTGGAGAATGCCACATATGCTACCCAAAACTGAACTTGTGTTTGCTGCAAGGAAAAAAACAAAAGACAATCCTAAATGTTTCAAGAGGATTTTGCTGTGGAAAGTCATATTCAAGGCAAGTCTCACACCTTGGCATAAGGGCTGTTGAATACATTTGCTTCACTATACTTCGCACTCAATACCACAGCTGAGGTGACAAAATGTGTCCACAGCAACAACACACAGATAAAATCCAAAAACTCTGCAACTTGCAGTTTTTAATCATAATTTAGCCCTTTTATGAATTTAGAAAGAAAACAAAACTGAATCTAACATGAAACATTTTATTTTCATTTAAAATTTGACAGATCACAAATATTTTGTTTCTGATTTATGGTATCTAGCAATGCAAATGGGCAGAACAGCAGTGTTAAAAAATGAGGAAAATATTTCAATTTCATAGGTACTGAAGACATGTACCAGCACCAAGGACAACAGTTTGCATTCAGATAAAAAAAGTAATATTTTATAGCTAAGTTTTTAATATATGCTACTTTAGCTTTCTTTTTCTTGAAACTTACACCAACACAAGTGAATTTAAGGTTTTTCTTGGGGACAGCTAGAGTTGCCAAGATTATCAATTAAAATCTTAATGACTCTCTACTACTTATATCCAAGAGACTACAAATACTTCAGTTAAATCAATATTGCACAGTGGCATTCAGGTATTTAATGGTATATTAGTGGAAAACATTAAGAAAATGGACCAGAACGACCACAGCTGCTCAGGCAAATAAGTCCTGGTCTTGCCTCCGAGAAAATGAATGTTCTCATGTCCAGCTTGGACTGAACAAGGTCTAGAAGGTCCATCCTACTTGCAGATATGAAGCAAATGTATAGCTACCCATATTAAACTTAAAACCCTAATTTCTGCATATTCTTTCTAGTATCAAATTGTTCTGAAGCTGTTACAAAATCTAAGGCTCTAAATCAACTGAAGTTATTGAGAGAGCTAAAACTGAAAATGTGGTTAACTTATGTTTAATATGGGTGGGGAGAAAGGGAAATGATTTATACAACTCAAGGCCAGAAGTATGACAGCTGCAGAAAATTGTGTATGTTTCCATCATCATCTAATCACAGAAACATAGACTCATAGGACTGAAAGCTGACAAACATCCAAATTTTCAAAAAGGGCAAGTGGAATGACCCTGGTAACTACCTGCCTGTCAGTCTCACCTCAGTGCCTGGAAAAATTATGGAGATTATTCTGTGAGTTATTGAAAAATACCTGAAGGACAACACAGTCATCATTCACAGCCAGCATGAGTTCATGAGGGCAAAGTCCTTCTGACACCCATTCATGACAAGATTCTCCACCTCATCAATCAAGAGAAGTCAGTTGATGTAATCATCTTTCTGGATTTCAGTAGTCATCAATGCTGTCTTCCTTGGTGTCCTGGACAAAGCTGAATAAACACATCATCACAAATACAGCACCTGGCTAATGGGTTGGGCACAACCAGTGACAGTGAATGGGGAGACATCACGCTGGTGATCTGTCATTAGTGGGGTTCCACAGGGCTCTATTCCAGGCCTTCAATGTCTTCACAGATAACTTAGATGCAGGATTTGGAGGCATACTAAGCAAGGTATATGCTTATATAACTATATAATTATATATAACTATATATAATTATCAAATATAATTATCTTAGGAGGTGTAATGGATTGACCTGGGCCAGATGCCAGGCACCAGTGAAAGCCGCTCATTAACTTCCCTCTGCAGCTGGACAGAGGAGAGAAAATACAACGAAGAGTTCAGGGTTGAGATAAGAATCAGGAGAGACCCCTCATCAAATACAATCATTGGTAAAAGAGGATCAACTCAGGGATATGAAGTGAATTTATTACTATTAAAAAAAATCAGAGCAGGATAAGGAGAAGTAAAACAAGCCCCTTGAAACTACCTTCCCTCCACCCCTCCCTCCTTCTCAGCTGCACCTCTTACCCCAGCAATGCAAGGAGACATGGAGTGGGGGTCATGATCAGTTCACCTCCCGTGGCTTCTCCTGCCGCTCAGGAAGAGGAGTCACTCCATTGCTGCACCACTGGTCCCCTCCCACAGGAGACACTTCTCTGTGAACTTCTCTGACGTGGCTCCATCTCATGAGCAGCAGCTCCCTGCTGCAGTGTGAGCCCACAGGGACAGTCCCAGGGGCAGCTGTCCTCCCCAGATTGCTGCAGCAAGGTCGCTCTTCCACTCAGCCTCAAGGACAGGCTGCTCCAGCACAGGAGCAGGGCCCTCTCTCCACAGGTCTCCCACAGGATCATAGCTTCCTCACAGACATCCACCTACTTCTGTGGGGGCTCCTGCATGGGATGCAGGTGGATCTCTACATCCCCAGGACCTCCATGGGCTGTAGGGACACAGCTGCCTCACCATGGTCCTCACCACAGCCTGCAAACAAATCTCAACTCCAGCACCTGGTGCACCTTCTCACTCTCTTTCTCCACTGACCTTGTTGTCTGCATAGTTTTCTTCTCACATATTCTCACCCTGCTCTACTCTGGCTGGAATTAAAACTGTGCAACAACTTTTTGTTTATCTTTCTTCTTAAATGTGTTTGTTATCACAGAGGCATTATCACCATTTCTAACTGGCCCAGGTTTGGCCAGCAGCACGTTTATCTCGGTAGACACCAGGGATCGAACCTGCTGAATAGAGTGGAAGCTTCTAGCAGCTTCTCCCAGAAGCCACCCCTGTAGCATGCCCTCTTACCAAAAAACAATGCAAAACCAATACAGAACAAAAGAAACTGAGGGTGTCTTGTTTAGACAAGACGGTGAGGCAATATAATTATCTCGACAGAAATGGCAAATCTGCAAAAAGACAAAGTTCTTTTTACTATTAACTGTAGCTACAGTGAAATAGGCTTAAAATGACTAAAACCAAGATTTAGATTTCATATCAGGAAAAGCAAAATTTAAGATCTGATAGAAAGGACAGTTAAACTGTGAATTAAATTTTACCACTTATCTGAACAATCTTCTTACTGGGAAGTGTACTACTAACTTTCAGAAACATGACAAAAAAATGCTAATGTATATATGTCTGCTTTGATTCACCAGGTTTATGTCTTCATAAAACTGTGTTTTCTGTTTAGAAAGATGAGAGGTCTTTGGACTCTATCAGAGCACAGAATAAAAATGACTGTGTTTGGTCTGAAGAGAAATCCACACAGTCACACACCTCATATTGGACAATGACCAAGGCAGGTAAAAGGAGTAGTATCAGTGCAAACATATTCCTCATTAAATCTCTCAAGTTTCAAAACCTGGCATCTAGACCTTTCAATAATGTAAAGTCTTGAAGAAGTTTAATTAAGATTCCTCATAAACACCATTTACCTTACCTCCAGGCTTTTTGCTGGATTTATTTTCTTTTTTTAAGAAAAAGCTGTGGAAAGAATAAAGAATTTGTTTCATAAAAATGAGTATTTCTTTATGCAATGCAAGATCCAATCAGCTGTCAACTGACACTGACTTTTCTTTAAATAATGAGCAATGAAATGCTTGAGTGAGAACATGTACTGTTTCATCCTCTGTCTTTATGGACCAAGTTTTCTGAAGTTAGCATGAATGAGTCTTTGTTTCTATGAAACAGGGTGATTACGGAAGAAAATTGATAAACACAGTGCCCATTACCTACGTTGATATTAATAGGTATCAAAAGGAACTATGGTGTAACTTTTGAACTCAGATTGTGCCGTATGTCCAATCTGAATTCCGCTGGACGCAACTTCATTCACATCCATTCTGCCCTTTCACTGGTCAGCACAGACATCAGCATCTCGCACTCTGCTGCCCTCTTGCCTGCTGCCTTCTCTCCTCCAAGCTGAACAAACCAGTAGTTCTCTGTCCTTCTCATACTGTGGTGCTCAAAACAGAGCAGAGCAGAAGCCCCTCCCTCATCCGGCTGCATCCCAGGACACGGTCGGCCCACCTGGCAGCCAGGACACTGCTGACTCATGTTCAACCTGCCATTAACTCCAATCCCCAGATATCTTTCTGAAGGCTGTTCTTCAGCCTCTTGTCCCCCAGTCTGTATGTATTATTATCTCGTTGCAGCTGGAGAATCCAGCACTTGGTCTGTATTAGATTTCATACTCCTGGTGATTATCCTAGTCTAGGATAATCTTCAATCTTCATACACCTACATACACCTAGATTATCCATAGTCTACTCAGATCTCTCTATAACGTCTCTCTACACTTGAGGGAGTCCAGGTGCTCAGATAAGATTAATTGCAACAGCAAATTTACTTAATGTGCCTTTGATTCATATGTCCAGATCACTTAGGAAAACATTATTATGCTTTGCATTTTGTGCAAAGCATACTGCCGTAAGCACTGAAAAGGCTTATGTCAAAAACATAGGCTCATACTTTCCCAACTGAAGGAAGCAGGAAATTACATGAAAAAGATTTCATGATTTAAGAACCTTCCTTGTAGCTTGTAATAAAATCTTAAACTTACTCATCCATCATGATAATACCTCAAAGAAATCTTCTTGTTTAATTGTTCCTTAAAATAAGAATGTTTCAAGATAGAAGTTAATTGAGTGCAAGCCACTTGGAAATGGCAAGTAATTGTGGACAGGGAAAAATCACACAAAAATCTCATGGATCAATTCTGCAGGGGTTTAAGAGTTGACAATTTGATGAAAGCACCATCATCAATAGTACCATGAAACAACAACCACAGCAAACAGAAGTCTATCCTGAAACTGTGAAGCAGTCCACTCATATTGGGTCTTTCGTTTTGGGTCAAGTTTTTCGGTTGGCTTATGTATTAAAAGATTGTTCCAGGCTCCTACTGGTCAACATGAAAAATAAAAATGCTTTGTGTCTTCAGTCATATGGATTTCTTATGCTCAGACCCATTCATGGTATCACAGGGTGCCTGCTCCATTATCCTAACAATGTAGTGAACTAATACATTCAGATTTGATCGGGAACTACATATTCTTGTACAAGTTGGGCCTCAAATTACACTAGTGAAGGAAAAAAGCCACAAAGTCCTGACAGTAATAGATTTGCTGTAAGAGCTTTAATACTGTAAAAATTGTAAAAGTATCTTTAAACATTTCTTTTCAATCTTCCAAGATTTTTCTCCATATTCCATTTTTTGTCTTCAGAAATTCAAGTTCTAGAAGAAAGCTAGCCTCTCCCAGATTATTTCTCGTTAAACTTGGGCTATCTCCTATCTTCAAGGAGCTTTACAACAGCAGATCAGCTCACATTCTTTACTGGCCTATTAATATTTTAGTTCAAATGGGGATAACATTTTCCATACACAGCTACTCAGTTAAACATTTCATAAATATTTGTCTTCATCTTTTTAATCTTGTTTTTTTATGAAATTTTAAAGTGATAAATAAGCTTGATATAAACTTCAGTTTGGTTTATGCATGGGTCGGTTACTGGCATCTGCAGTGGCATATTTTTTTCCAAATTTTTAAAAGTATGTTAGAACAGCTCCAAGAATAGCTTTTTGCATGTAGTTGGAAATGGTACTGATAGTGTTGTACCTATTGAGAGGGGATGTCCATAACTCACAGCTGCAATTTCCAACTGTTAAGACCAAGATATACAACACCATGATTATTCTTTGACTAAGTTTGTGTCTGCAAATGCAATGAGAACTAATTCAGCTACTAAAATTAGATCCAAGCTGAATAAGGCCCAGGAAGCTTGCTCCATCAACTACATGGTATTTGACATATCAGAAATCAAAACTGTTTCAATTTATTACAAATTGTATGATTGCTTTACAGATGCTTCACCCATAAATAGAGCCTCATCATTTTGGAGGCAAGGATAAAAGAAGTCTAAATAAAATTTTTGAGAAAATTTGTGGTTGGATTTTTTTCCCCACCAGAAAATTTGCTTGGAAACATAAATAACCTGCTTCATTTTATTTTATCTGCAGAAAAACATCAAGGTTTACCTGCAGCACATACAAGAGCTTAAAGACTGATTGCATTTCCAGTGATCTTAACTTGCTTAAACAGTTCAAATACTGTGCATAACAAGCATAACACATCCTCAGGGTGGGTCAAAGTCCACAGAAGAAAGATTTTACAGGTACAAATTCTAGGATGTCAGGAAGACAGTCTGTATTTCTGAAAGATTTCAATTATGTTTAGTTTAACACTGACAGTCCCCTTGATATATACTTTGCCTTCTATCATTTACTGTTCTCTCACCTTGCAGTCTACTACCCTAAAACCTATTCTTTACTATGTCTCCAGATTCCTCAACGAAGCAGTTCCAAGAATTAGTGCTGTGTTTTATCTTTAAACGTAAGCAGAAAAAGTTAGATACAACAGGATGCAAAATAAAGACTCGTGTTTATTGTAAATACAATCTATTTCCCAGCTGTGTGTGGCACATCACCAGCCATAGGTAAAAATGACCCTGGGAGGCTGATTTGACCTCATCTGAGCTGTTACTATTATCAAGTAAGAACGTTTCAACATAACAAATCAGCCAGTAGAGGTAAAGAAAATCTACAGCAGACTCCCTCCCCACCCAGTCACTGTAGGAATAACCTCAAAGAAAAGTACTCCGGTTTTGTTCAAACACCAAGAGGATGAAGAATCAGGAATAATTATTCCCCTTTCTCTGTAGCCCACAACTTTGGCATTTTGAGGATACAGTCACACACAGCAATACTGCTGTAGCAACTTTATGCCTTGATATTTATGGATATATGGAATTAGCAACAAATATACATTAATTATAAACTAGAATTTTAACATTTTGTCTACATTATCAAAGTTACAGTGGAAACTGCAACACATTAAAAAATGTATATCTTCCAGGTCTTAAAGACTGTTCTAATAATTTTTATGGGCCTAAACAAAAATTAAGTATAACTGCTGTATGTCAACTACATTCATGTGAGTATTACCACACATTTCAGCAACAGCTGCTTCTGATGCCAATGTTTCATTTCAGTTACAGAACATTTAGAATTTTTCCAAAGGCTTATCTCTGTTTCACTACAGGTCTGAATACTGACAACATGTGGATTACACCACAACGGCCTAAAGTCACTGAACCACATCTGCTCACACAAGCTGAAGATAGACCTCAGGCAAAAATTAACTCAACAGTTGCAATTGGGAGTCTCAATGGCAAGAAGGTGTTGCAATACCATGTTTTACATAATTATATTAATATCTCAAGTATCCTTGATGTAGTATGTAAAATGTATAGTGTTGGAGTATCACAGTAAATGCTAGGAACACTGTAAACACATTTTATTTTTGCACTGAAGTTTACACAAAACATGTTAATTCAGCTTTTTAAATTCTCAACACAGAAGGCAGTAGTTTGGCTTTTTATTGGTAAACAATAAATCATCTCCTCAATTAAAATCAAGTTCAAACAATTCAGGGAAGTCCACAGTGGCTATATTTATTTACAATTTAATATCAGAAGAAAAAATTAACATTCCAGGTTACTGTAGAAAAAAAGTGTATACCATACTTAATGGCATACAAGATTTGTAACAAGCAAAAAACAGCCTGTTTTACAAGTAATCTCCCTTCCAAATAGGTTTTTTATCTTAGTGCAGTTAGTATTCTCTCCCCATAGGCTATACATTGAGAATCTCTATATACAAAAAAGATACAACAAATTGATACATTACTTATTGCAAGATATTAAGGATGCCATAAAATACACACATTAAATTAGTTCCGCCCCACTCGCATACCCTCTTGCTTCTTATTTCTCCCATGAAGCAGTCTCCTTCTCTGGTTCTAAGATTAAGTTCTTTCACTGAAAGGCACGTACTTCTCTACAACAGAAGAAACAGATGCATTAATCTGAAATGCCCTGTTTCAAGGTGAGTTTAGCCTACATTTTTAAAGATCACATATTATGAAAGAATCCAGAGAGAAATGACATTTTATTATTAAAATTGACTGGAAAAACTCTTAGTTACCATATTACTGTGAAGCAAAGTGCCATAAACCCACATTCATTTAACCTTTCCAAATAGAGCGACAACTCACTTACAAAAATATAAAGGGATTTACCATGAGAATATGTTTTTGAACTGTCAAGGCTCCTGAGTTCCTACTGAAACTCTGGCAAGTCTTGGTAGCATTCCAGTTACGGAATACTATAAGAAAATAAAGTAAATTCTTCCCCTTGTGCCTTGCAGCACTGAGCAAGCAGTTTCTGCGTGAAGTCATTCAATGAGGATTACAAACTACTAGTATGATATAATTTTGAAAAACAAAGATGTAGTATTAGTATACTGTTCCTCAGATAGCATGTGTGTAAAACTGTACTGTGAGAGACCAAAGGCTAGAATTTTACACTTGGGCATTTAATAGTAAGCTATTGAGCAAAAATAGCTAAATAGAATATGCTAAAAACCTACTGTTTTTGTAAACTGCCCCAAACAGCAGCAGCACAGAGACTAGTGACATGGGTGATGATGACAGTGGGAATACACTTAAATTGTGTCTATGTTACAGCTCAGGACACTGGGGACCTTTTTTCATACAGTTCTGAAAGAAAACAGCAGCTCTTGAAAGAAGTAATGTATCTGGACACCAGTATATTAATACTACTGTGGTGATTTTTAGGAGAGAAGCTAGTTTCTCTGTCTAGCTCTGCGAAGGGTCTAATACAGTTACCAGCTAACCCAAAATCAGACTATAAGAATTTCTAATATAGGCATACTATTTTGTAGAATATCATCTTAAAAAAAGTTTGACTGCTTCAAGCAAGAAAAATTAAAGCAGACCGAGTGCCACTACAGTCTTTTAACAGGTTCCAAAGAAATTAGGAAAAAAGACATATTTTTATATACAAAACAATAATTTTATACATACATACATATATACATACCAAAACTTGACTATTTTGATGTCAATAACAAATGCAAATGAACACGGAAATAAGAATTCCCTGTAACTGCATTCAGTTTTTTAGTGCCTTCTGTTATGAGTTGCAAGGGAAAGAAACTTAAGCACTAAGTAAGACTCAATTGTTGAGTCTAAGTTAAGTAAAACTGTAACTGTTCTTCACTTAACAAAGCATTAAACTCAAAAACCTACTAAAAGCTTCTCTTCCTTGTTCCCATGCTCTAGGCCTGGCTATATATTTAAGCTACCTTTAAAAATCCCAATCAACCATACCTCTGAATTACTACAAATGTCAGAACAAAGTGTAATGACATCTCCCGAGAATATGTATCACTTTCATGAAGTTGTCCTCAGCACCAAGTTGTCTTTGCTTACTTAGGCATTTTGTACTCCCTTTGGTCATTGTGCTTAAACAGTAACATGAAGACTGATTATTAAGCTTCAATGCAGATGCAAACAAGTTGAAACAAGGGGTAATAAATTAAGAAGCACATTCCCAATCAAGATTTAAAAAAAAATTAAATAATTCAAGTACTCTAATTTTCAAACTACCCTCCCAGTAATGACTTATCTTTGCAAAGTTTGAACACCATTTTATCCAGCTGTTTTACAGAGATTTGTGGATGGTTCAGCATTGCTTTTAACCTACACATGAACACTATTTCAAAATAAAAAGTAGCTCTTAAAATTTTAAGTTCTCTACATAAAAGAGAACACAGGAAGATATCAATATACAAAACCAGAGAAAATTCACTATTTTCACTAAATTTAACTGAAGTCCTTGTTTTCCTGAGTTTCCAGTACCAAAATAAGGATTTCAATAATTTAGACACATCCTTTCAGAGTGCTATTGAAACAACAGTTTAGATACTTCTACAATGAAATACTTCAAAAAAATTTTCTTCTCCCTCAAAATAAAGTGTTTAGGGAAAATGCAGGAAGAAAAATCAGAAACATGCTCTCAGGAACTTAGAATTGTGTAATACTGTTTGTTAATGATGACTAGCTATAAATCCATTTTACTTCCTACTAAAAACATAGTTGATCCTCCTGTAAATAAGCAGTATCATGTACCTGAGTATCATGTTAACTGGTCATCAAATACCTCAAAATGTCTAACAAGTATCCTGAATTACAATAGAAGCTAAAAGATTTAAAGCAGACATTGAGGGAATTCCTGGGTATAATGTGACAAAACCTATTACGTTTTACATATGTATATTTATGTGCGCGTGTGTGTGTGTGTGTGTGTATACATACACTGGAAAAAGACTAGTAATATAGCATAATGTTAAATGTCACATAATTCTAAAACACAGAGGAATGCTATGTGGAGATACTCTAGCTACTTTAATCTAGTGTATGGGGGAGAAAAAAATCAAAAGAGGCTTTGACTTATGAAAAATAATTAAATCAGAAAGATTCTCATTAAGGAGACAAAGCAGACTGAATCTTTCTTTTCAAGTTCCAGAACTGCATCCAAAGTTCCTCTTGATAAATGGTAGAGCATCTGACTTACTACTCCAATACTTTTAATTCATTTGAGCCATCATGTATTGCATTCATCAAACTGTCTCACTTGAGATTTCAATCTGATTTCACATTAAATGTGAATCAACTACTTGCTGTGACTGGAAGAATTAATCTGATCTCTTCTGACAGTCTTCACTATGAACTATGACAATCCCATCAATTATTTTACTGTATCTTTGCATGTGCAATGTGATGACATTGCTCAATAAGGAAAAAATGTAAGTGTGAACTGCATAAATTTAATTGATTTGAACTGATCATGTTTAAAGACACTAAGGAAACAGAATAAAAGTTAAACACAATAAAGAAATACAACAAAATTTTTCTGTATCTACAAAGATTCAGAGTAGCTTAAGAATGTGAATTTTTCAGTGCAGCAGTACCAAATGTAAAACGTGGTGCAGGATCATCATCAACTAACTGCTGACTACTTTAGCAATAAGAAAGCAGAATGAAGCAAAGCTGCTTGAAGCAGAACTCATAGGTGAGAATATACAAGAAAAACTGGAGCCTTCAAATTAGGAAAAAAAAAAAAAAAAAAGAAAAAAGACAGGTAAAAGCTAGTTGTTGACTTAACATTAGCTTCAATGACACAGTATTTGTAACAAAAATATCCTACCTTCCTCTCCATTTCTCTGGAACTCACATGTTGAAGACAAATGGTGTTTATCTTCTTGCCCACTAAATTCTTGCCCATTTAAAATTCAAGTGATGTTGACATCCCTTCTCCAACTACACACATGAAACACAGTAGTGAGCTTTCTCAGAGAAACTGCTTATCACCCACACTCCTTCACTTCTATTGCTAGAAGTACATTCAGGTTCTAAATACAAACCTTCGAGGATGGCTGGCATCAAATAGTGTATCATCATCATCATCATCTTGTTCTAATGGGGTCAGCTCCATATTTTCTATGTTTGTATCCAAAACTCCGTATCTTCGGGTTTTTCTGTTTTGCCTTCTGAGCCTGAAAAGTATTTTAAAATATTCAAGTAATGTAAATCTTTCCTACTTTCTGATCCAAAAATGTAAAATACTGCTATACTGATACTTTGTGTAAGTTTCTAAAATTAATGATAAGTGTACACACTTAGCTCTATGAATTTAGAGGTCAGAAAATTCTAAATGTCAACAGTTTTCATTAATTGATTAAGGCCATTAAGAGTGTCCTGTTTTGTGCGGGATTAATGTAGTGAATACAAAATGGCATTTAGCATATAAAAGCCACATAAAAATACATCATTCTTGCATCTAGCAATACATCATTTAGCATATAAAAGCCACATAAAAATACATCTTCTAGCATACTTCTACTAAGAAAAAATTGCCTTGCTACATATTCTCTATGTGTCTTATGCATCTGTAAAAAACAGCTGATCAAATCAGGCAGAAACCAAACAAAGCAATAGCAAAGCAGTAACTTGTAACACAAGTCATGGTTGACACTAGAAATTTTTATTATCATTTGTGAAAAAATTTATAGGCATCAAGTTTAAAAAATCATCTATAATTACACTTTAGAAAAAGACATCTTGTAGAGTCAATGTCTTTGTGCTTCACAAAGCACGGAAGGAGGAGTCAGTGACTCATGTTTCAGGATTAAGGCACAGTGCTTATCACAGAAAAGCAGACTATCTGCATCTGGTTTTCTCACTCTCCACAGCTTTGCTGAATGGGCCTGGGTCCTGTGTGCATCACCTACAAAATGAACCATTCCATTTAGCTTTCCAGAAGTACTCTTTAACCCATGGAACAAGCCTTGCTCAAGTTCCAGAACTCAGACCAATAGCCACTCACCAAACACTGTGCAAAGGCACATTTACAGAATGCTGACAGAGTCACTTTCAGTAACTGGCAAACAACTACAAGAAAGCTATAGGACTTAAAAAAAAGAATTTGTGTCTAGGTACTTAGTGCTAAAAGCAAAGGTCATTCATTTAGAAACTCCAGAATTTACAAGCTAGGTGCCTACAAAACATGTTTACAACATTCAAGAACTTCAACACAGAATATTTCTGAGCTACTAAAAAAAATATGAATATACTATGATACTATAGTACTGCTATCAGATTATGTATAATACATTATACTACTGTAGACTGTGCATTGTGACTTCTCTGTCCCACATTTAGGCACCATTTTTACTTTCTTGTAAGAGATATAAAATACAATGCTGAGATTCTCAGCTTTAAATTCTGTCCTGAAACCCTAGTGTACTTAAACAACCTGTTTAAATACCCTGCTTGAAAGAACACACAACAGCATTCAATCTTGGTTAATCTTTTCACTATACTCCAATGTATAAAACATATCTCCTTTTGAAATGGAGTAGCAAAAGTAACATTGTAAGAATGGGAAAGAGATAAAGTACATACCCTTCTTCCAGGTTCTCCAATTTTTAATGTTATAAGAAATAATCAACATGACCATTTCCTCCACTTTCAATTACGATATGAAAATGCAGCAATTGTTTCCTCAGGCATTTAAGTGCTTTAGCCCAGAACAAAATAGCCAACTTTTTCATTTAAAGCTAAGGCTAGCACCAAAACTAAAAATTTCACCTTTCACTTCAAGACAAAGTCCTTTCCATGTTCTTAATTTATTTCATCTGTTCTTAACTCTTCAATACAGAAAGAAGCCATACACTTCAAAGCACCAGGTAAAAAAAATTTCTAAAACTTTTAAGGTGACAGTGTGATGAAAAATAGGGTTGTTTCTCACATATTGTACCTTTTGGTTTTCACTACAGTAGAAGCTAAGCAATTGAGACTTTGACAAGCATTGTGGATATCCTAGCAGACAATAAACTTTTAAAACACAACAAAAATATGAAATAAGAAGAGGCAATACATGCTACTCGTAAAGTCAATATTTCTACCAATCTTACTTTACATTATACCTTTTTTCCTTAATGGGTTAAAATGGAAAATGAGTAGCTTTGTGATTTGCGAGTGACCTAAGACAGTCATAGCAAACATCTAGATTGTAGATAATGCAAAAAGAACTTCTCACGAAGCTGGCACAGATTTTAGATTCAAGCAAATCTTGTTGAAAAAGGATACACTAATCACTTGCGACTCAAACCCTTCTCTATGTAAGACGGAGTTAAAAACCTACAGTACATGAGTACTGGAGATGCTCACACAACATGCATCATAGCCATGCCTCTAAAGCAGTGTCCTGACTGCCAACAAAAATAACTTAAAATCTTTTACTCTGTGACTGACAACTGCTCAGTTGGAAGGAACCTATGACTACTACTGACTCAGCCTGATCAATCCAAAATTTAAAGCATGGTACCATGGGTATTGTCCAAATGCCTCTTAAACACTGAGCCCCTTTCTAAGAAGCCTGTTCCAGTCATTGACCACCCTACCAGTAAAAAATGCTTCCTAATGTCCAATTTATACCTCTCTTGGTGCAACTCTGAATCATTCCCATGCATCCTATGGATGGATCTCAGCAAGAAGGGTTAAGTATCTCCTTCCTCACGGACCTACCGGGAGCAAGGAGGTCACCCCTCAGACTTTATCTTCTCCAGTGTAGACAAACCCAGAGTCCTCAGCTGCTCCTTACAGGACAGGCCTTCCAGCACTTCCACCAGCTTGGCTGCCCTAATCTGGTTGTATTTAAGTGCCTTAGTAACCTTACTGCACACAGTTACTCACAGGAAGGCCATGACAATGCTGAGTACAGTTGGACAATCTTAACTGCTTGTGCTGTGTGAGGTGCATCCAAGGGTGAAGTTTGCCCTCTTGGCTGCCAGGGCACATGTTGGCTCACACTGAGCTTGCTGTCACCCAGCACCCTGAGATCCCTCTCTGTATGACTACTCTGCAGTCACTTCTCTCCCAGGTAAAACTAGTGTCCAGTTCCTGTTCCAGCTGCAAAGCCCAGTATTTGTTCTTGTCAAATGTCCTGCCACTGGTGATTGCCCAATGCTCCAATCTATCTAGATCCCTCTGCAAGCCCTCTTGCACGGTGAGAGAGCCAACGTGAGAGAGCCAACTGCACCACTCAACTTGGTGTCATTCAGCAAAGTTGCTAATGGTGCATTCAACTACTGTCTCCAGATAAGAGTATTCAGCAGAGCTGGCCCTTGAACTGAGCCCTGAGGAGCAACACTGGTGATGGGGTGCCACCCAGATGCACTCCTCCTTACTACAATCCTATGAGCCCTGTCATTCAGCTATCTCTTTTACCAGTGCACCACTAATTTGCTCACCCCACAACTGGAGAGCTTGTCCGGACAGCTACTGTGAAGAACAGCATCAAAAACTGTTTAAAAAAGCCTTACTAAAATCCAGAAACACTACAGTCACTTTCTTCCCTTTATCTGCTGGGCAGAAAACCTGGTAGAAAGTTTGCAAAAAGTTTTTATGTTTTAACAAGATATGTCTTCATGCCAAGGAAACCTATCCAAAAAATGGGTTGTTAGCACTTAATCTTTGTATTTCTTATATAACCACTGCAAAAACATTTCAGCTACAAGTTCGAATTCGAAAACATACACTCTACCTATTCCAAATTTCAGAAGCAAGATGCAGCAGAATTACAGAATAATGTCAACTGTTAAGCTCCCAGTTTATAGTAGCAAATGCAGAACAGCATCCTACTGCTAAAACCAGAATACTGGGTAATTACCACTCATCCAGAAAATAATGGTAATAGATGATAATTTTCCTCTCCAGCTCCTGTAATGACAGACTATCTATCTATCTATCTATCTATCTATCTATCTATCTATCTATCTATCTATTTATTTATTTAGCCTTTCCACAGTATTACTCACATCTCCAAACCCAACAGGCTGGTGTTACAAGACACACTGAGAAGTGCCCTCAAGGCTTCTCAAGAGTGATTTATAAAACATATGGAAAAATCAAAATATCCTAGTTTACTTGGACTGTATATCTGAGTACATGACATACACAAAACAGTCATTCAACTGCCTTTCTAAACTAAATGATGCAGGTACTAGTACACAATGTGTACTAGACACAATTCATTTATCTAAATGAAATGAAAAGGATATGGAGAACTTGCTCCATAACTGAGGTGCTTTATGCATAATCATACATTTGGGCCTCATTCTGAAGAATCAAAGTTATTAAAGCATGAGAGAGAGAGAGAGAAGTAATACTACCAAGACAAAAAAACACAAGAAGTGACAAAACCTGTACTTAACTGCAAAAGCATATCAAGTTATGTGGAGAATAGTTTCCATGAGAAACATAAAGGCTAAATAGTAGCAAGCTTTATAGGAGCCCTTTCCGTAAAAAGACACAAGTGGAAGAACAACTTTGTAGTTTAGCGATACAGAAGCTTGCAGACTGGTCAAAAATCACATTTTTGAATAAGAACATAAAAAATAAATTTAGGTGGGCTGACAGGCGCCAGCAGCGACGAGTTCACAGGGAGAGCACAGGAGGGAGCCGGGAAAGGCCCAACACTGATGTGCGATTCTCGGTGACGCGAGCCGAGCCGCCCGCGCTGCTCCCCACCCACACGGGGAGGCGGCACCGGGAGCTGCCCG